TGGGGTTGTTGTAAGCGTAGGTGAGACTGTTAGTGGTGAATAAACTCTGAAAGACCACGCAGCTTCTTACCAGGGCAAAGTGAGTGGGAAATACGTATTTTCTGCCTCAGCTCACTGTTCTGAATTCAGTACCTTGCTTGGGCCATAAGTGTTTCCTAGCTCTCAGAATGTTTTCTCTTGCTCCCAGAAAAGGAAAAGAAGGTAAAGAAAAACAGAATTCTTCCAAGAATTGAATTTTTCTTCTTGGACCGTAGAGGTTTTTTTTTTTTCTTTCTGAATTTTAAGTACTATGGACTCAGTTCTGCTTAAGTTTCAATTTTCTAATCAAATACAGTGGTCCCTGGGAAAACAAAGATAACTCTATCTTACCAAGAATTTACATTTTAGCAAAAAATAGTTTATGAACCACGCTTACTCCTATGAATATGATTTGGTTGAGAAGAGGTAGGGTAGTGAAGTTCTGTGAGGAGCTGCCAGTAAGGAAAGAAGGCACAAAAATTTGACAGATCTAAGATTTAAAGATGAAATTTACGGGATTAGTTTTCATATAGAGTTGTATTGCTAGTCAGGGGAGGGTATTTGTGACTACAGAAGAGGCCAAGGGAGAAGGAATTATTTGCCTGCCTTTCTGTGACATTAAGAAAAAGGCTGAGCTTTGATCTGTCTGCTACTGATTTTATACTTTATGTCCTCATTTGGTTCCTGATTTATTTTTTAAGAGATCCCCACATTAGTTATATATTGTTCTTTGTTTCAGCCTAGTGCATAAGAGATAAACAACATCGTCTTTTGTTTCACATTATCCCAGAAGAGCTAGATGGAACGCCTGCTTATAGATAATATTACTGCTCTGTTTTCATACACTGTCTTTCTTTTGAATAACTCCCAATATGTTATGACATTTTTCTTCTTAATGTTTATTAAAGGCCCTCAGCATGCTCAGTGCTTTTGAAAGAATATAAAAGACATAATTCTTGCCAATAAGGGACATGCATATTAATAGATGAGACATAAACATGTGCTAAAAAATACATAATATTCTGGGATGTGACAGATTATTTTGTTTGGTTGTGGTGGAATGAACACCCCTCCTTAACTGTAGTCTTGCCAAAAAAAAAAGAGTAAAGAGATGTCTAAGCCTTTAGCCTTCAGAAGTACAACCGTGAGAGAGTTGTTATTTTAGTTAAGGTAAAATGAGACCATTTAGGCTCAAATTAGCCTCAATTTTATAGTTTGATGATAATCACATATAACTCCAGTGTGTACAATTTTAATGATTCAGAAATTCTGATTTTCCTATTATTCCTTCTGCAGTTCTTTTTTCTTCCGAAAACATGTCATGTATTGAACTTGGAACTAGGGACAAAGTTGTGAGCAAAATAAGCTGTGAACCTGTCTTGAGGGAACACACAAACATTCAGTTTGGGAGAACATGAATGTTAAATCAGTCATGGTACTCATCGGCAGTCTTAGGATTCTCTGAGATGATATAACAAGGGAAGCTGATTAAGTTTGGCGAATTGTGATGACTTCCTAGTTTCAGTGAGGTGTACAGACGAACAAGAGCAAGCCAAGTGTAGAGGATGAAGTAGGGGATGTTGCAGGTGTCAAGGAAGCCATGGTGACTTAGTCAAAGCACTGAAGGAAGGCCAGCATGGCTAAACTTAAGAGATTTGAACAAAGGTAAGATATGAGGTGAGCTTAAAGAAGAGACTGGTGAGCCAGCACTTGTAGGGCCCTGGCTATTCCTTCGTGTCACAGTGCCCAAGCGCTGGATAGTGGCCCTTCCTTGCTCTCAAACCATGGCACTAGATGTGGTTTCTGTTGCAAAAAAGATGGTGGCTGGCCTTGTAAATCAGTAGTCTTCAGTCAGTGGGTAGGTAACACAGATGAAGAGTTCTCTTGGCACAATATAGATGTGGATATATTTGTTCTGCTTTATTTTTAAAACCCTATTGTATTGTGGGTAGGTAAAGCATATGAAGAGTTCTCTTGGCACAGTATAGATGTGGATATGATTGTTCGGATTTATTTTTAAAACCCTATTGTTAAATACTATTAATTGCTTGGGCTGGAGCGATAGCACAGCGGGTAGGGCGTTCGCCTTACAAGCAGCCAACATGGCCGACCCGAGTTCGATTCCTCCGCCCCTCTCGGAGAGCCCGGCAAGCTACCGAGAGTATTCGATATGCCAGACACAGTAACAACAAAGTCTCCAATGGAGACGTTACTGGGCCCGCTCGAGCAAATCGACGATCAACGGGAGTGCCTTTACCTTTACCTTACCTTATTAATTGCTATTACTGTTAATTTTTCTGAGGTAGTTCAATTTTTTTTTTTTTTTTTTTTTTTTGCTTTTTGGGTTATACCTGGCAATATACAGGGGTTACTTCTGGCTCTGCACTCAAGAATTACTCCTGACGCTGCTCAGGGGACCATTTGGGAATTGAACCCGGGTTGGCTGCCTGAAAGGCAAATGCACTACCCGCTGTGTTATTGCTCCAGCCTCCTCAAACTTTTTTTTTTAAAAATGAAGATAGTATTAGTTTATGAAATTGTTGGGGCACAATTTAAAAGTCTATAGTACCATAGTACAGTTACCACCAAAGTATCCGTAGTTTGCACCACTGCTTGCTGACTTCTGTACCTCCCTCAGTTCCCTGCCCCTGACCCTTTTGGTAACCTCAGTTCTGCAGTCCTGAGTTCATGATCTATTTTTGTTGGTTTTTCCTTCTTACTTGTTTGCTTCTCTGCAGCCCACATATGAGTGAGGATGAGCTCATTGAGTATTAGTCTTTCTCCTTCTGACTTAACATTTCAAGTAATATTTAAGCATAACACAACTGCGTAATTTATGCAACTTTTTTGTCTAATGTGCTTTTTTAATTTATATTCTTTAATGCTTATTATTTTTGTTCATTTTTTAAAAATTTTTATTAGTGAATCTCCAGAGACAGGGTAGGGCGTTTGCCTTGCACGCAGCCACCCTGGCTGAGCCAGGTTCGATTCCTCCGCCCCTCTTGGAGAGCCTGGCAAGCTACCGAGAGTATCTCGCCCGCACAGCAGAGCCTGGCAAGCTACCCGTGACATATTCAGTATGCCAAACACAGTAACAACAAGTCTCAAAAAAAAAAAATGGAGACGTTACTGGGCCCGCTCTAGCAAATCGGTGAACTACGGGATTAGAGGATAGTGTCATTAGTGAAACACCATGAGGTACAGTTGTAGACTTAGAAATTTTAGTGCTTGAGTTTCAGTTATACAATGATCGGGTACCCATCCCTCCACCAGTGCCCATTCTCCACCACCACTGATCCCAGTATCCCTCCCACCCTTCAACCCCCACCATCCCACCCTGCCTCTGTGGCAGGGCATTCCCTTTTGTTCTCTCTCTCTTATTGGGTGTTGTGGTTTGCAAAAGAGGCAATGAGTGGCAATCATGTTCGGTCTATAATCTACTTTCTAATGTGCTTGTTGTAATGAAAAATAGGAGACTTTTCCAATGTGACCACCCCCCAGTACCATCCATGTTGTTGCAAATGACAAGATTTTATTTTTTATGTTTATGCCTAAAGTAGTATTTCATTGACTACCACAGTTCCATTGCATTGGACACCTGGCTTATTTCTAGATCTTGACTCTTCTGAATAGCAGTGTATTGAAAATAGGTGTCCATATGTCTTTTTTGAATTCCTGTTACTGTGTTCTTTGAATGACGGCTGAGGAGCAGAATTGGTGCATAGTATGATGTTCCATTTCTTAGTACTCTGAGAGCTTTTCATGGACGACCACTGTACATTCTCACCAACAGTGAAGGAGGGTTCCTGTTTCTCCACACCCCTACCTAGCAATTTGGAATGAAATTTTAAAACTGCAGTAATCTTAAAAAATTAATTCTGCTAACATGCTATTTTACTTCTTTTTGACTTTTTGAACACATCTGGCTGTGCTCGGGGCTCATTCCTGATTCTCTGCTCAGGGATCACTCCTGGCAGTGCTTGGGAAATCGTAGGTGGTACTGGGGATTGAATCTGGATTGGCTCCATACAAGCAAGCTTCTTACCCATTGTTTTATCTCTCCGGCCTCCCAACACCCAACTTTCTAGAAAGGAAAAGATACTTCTGCTGAGTGTCAGAAACAAACTCTACTCTTATTTTTTTTTTGGGGGGGTGACCATATGTGACCCACATTTTATAATTTGCTGAAGGGCTATATTGTTTGGGACTTTGTTATTTTGTTTTCCTAAATTGGACAAGGGCCTATTTTCAAAGTTATCCCAAATAAATATGTTTGCCACTAAAGGAAAAACCCTCCCACCCCCATCCAGCCAAAGAAAAAACCCTATCAAATTTAAGTAAACAATTAAGATAAAGTGGATTGAACTTCTTTTTACAGAAGTCAGCCGATAGGTAGAGTATGTGATCTTTGTTTTGTTTTAAAAATCGCCATTCCACTTTTCAGCTTTGCAATACTTGAATAACTGCTGTGTATTTATGCTGTCTTCTGAAGTCAGGAAACAAACTAAGTAGTGTTTTCTTTGAATGATCAACTGCCTAGGACTTGTTGCAAATTAACGATATAAATAATCTAACAAGGTCCTTCATTGTACATTTCTTGAAGCAAACAGAGTGCAATGTGTTTTTAAATCCAGACAGCGATTTGATTTTTTTTCTCTTTACCACATTTGGATATAGATTGATATAAAATTACTTAAAAATGCTGCATATAAATTAAACATTAAAAGGAAGCTATGGAGAGGCTAAGCTGCCCCATTATAATCTTTCCCTCTGCACTCACTGCCTCAAGGACACTCATTTCATATCACTTGTCCTTCTTTTGAAAACTGATCACCCGGGTTCAAGTAACATTTAAGCATAACAGACAACTGCATAATTTATGCATCTTTTTTTTGTCCTGTGTGCTTGTTTTAATGACAAAAAGGGGACTGTTTATGTACATTAACAATGCCTCCTGTCTCTTTTCCCTCCTGCCTTTGCAGATCGGGGCTCTGAAGGACTATTACCACTTCTACCATAGCCGGACGATTAAAAGGTCAGTTCTCTCGAGCAGAGGAACCCACAGTTTCATTTCAATGGAACCAAAGGTAAGAAGAACCAGTTGGGTGGGGACCAAGAGGCAAAGCTTCTGCATTTTTCATTGGTAATAAAATCACACTTGCAGCACGACGACTCCAGTTTCAAGAGTTGTCATAAGATCTTTCGGTCTAGCATCTTTCATTCCTCTGGACACAAAACCAGGCAGTAGCTCGCTTCTGGCCGAAGTGCCGGTATCATCTAAGCAGTTGTTGATTTGGTTCATAAGTAGGGGCTCTTGTGGAGGGGGATGGGGATGGGAGCGAGGTAGATTCAAGAAGTATTGAAGTATTGGGGCCAGAGCGATAGTACAGCAGGTACACTTGCCTTGCACAAGGCCCACCTGGGTTCGATCCTTGGAATCCCATATGGTCCCTTGAACATCACCAGGAGTAACCCCCGAGGATTGCTGGGTGTGGCCCCCAAACAAAAACAAATCAACAACAACAAAGTGTTGAAGTGTTATATGACTCCAGTGTCTGCCTATCTGAGATTCTACCTGAGCTCCAGGGGAAGGGGGCTCTCTTCCAGACCCCTAAGGTCAGGCCTCAGATTACTGTGCATTTTGGGAAGTTCATCTGGCTGGGTAGTGCCAGGCAACCCCAGGGCATCTGTGTGTTTGGGACTGGAGGGCCAGGCGCACATGGGAACAGAGGATGGCTCCCGCTTCTCTCTGGTTGATGGTACCCTCTCATGCCCGTTGTCTTTATTCCAGTTCTTTGGGTGTATGAGCACTACTGGGTGAGTCCAGAAGGAGGGAGACTGTGCCCTGGTTTCCCTTTCCTTTTAGGTCATGGGAGTTAGGAAGCTGAAGGGAGTTAGGATCAAACTAAAACTGGGAACTAAGGGGTGAGTTAAACATTTGTAATAATTCAGTTAGCAGATGGACCTGACTTTTGATAGGGAATGACTTGGCCTACCCAAAGCAACAAGAGAACATCTGGACCGACCTGCCCCAGCTCTGTGTGGACTCACTCACTGGTTATATTATCTATTGATAAGGAAAGATTTTTTTCCCATTATGATTTAGGTTTGTCATATGAACTCATTTTGAAATAAATTGACCAACAAATCCCTGCCGGTGAGCTGAATAGCCTTACCCAAAGATTTCTCAAATACTGTTTTTCTTTGGTAAAGCAAAAAGTCCATATTTAAATTAATATGCAAATTAGGTTTGCTTTTTGACGTCTGCCCTGTGCTCTCTACCAGGGTTCTTCTACTTGGCTATTCTTTTTTCCTGTAATATTGTACAGTGTTAATAATTATGAAATTGTCTCTTGTTGACTGGAAAAAGCATATTTCTTGCAGGTCCCAGTAGCCTTTAATAGACATATTCTAGTGGCCCATGGATTGCATTTCTTTCCTCCTTCAATTCCATTTAGAATTGAAAGAACCTGGAAATGTAATCATTTTGGATATTGTTGAATGAACTAAGTTTCCAAAGCAAGGTCATGTTTTTCAACTTTCAAACAACCTTTTGGAAGCATTTTTTTGTGGAGGTAATTAGAATGATTCCAACTTCAGATCACTTACAGACAATGCCAATTTGAAAAATCAAGTATTAGTTGGTTTGGAACACAGGTTTTCAAACAAACATTTGACCTGTTTTTTGGAAAAAAAAAAAAACCCAAAAAACAAAAAAACTTTTGCACCTCCCTAGAATCCCTCCTCATGTTTTATTATTATTTTTTTTCTTTGGTTCCACATCCACTTGTGCTCAGGACTTACTCCTGGCTCTGTGCTTAGGGATCACCCTTTAAAAAATTTTTTTGGGGAGGTGACATACTTTGTGATGCTTAGGAGTTACTCCTGGGTCAGCACTTAGGAATTACCCCTGGCTGTGCCCAGGGGATATATGGGATGCCAGGGATTGCAGTGTGCATGGCTGTACTATCTCTCCAGCCCCTCTGGGATCATTCTGGATCCTGTTCACTTCTGACTGGCACATCATCCATGGTACCAAGGAGCAGACCGGGCTCAGCCATATGCAAGGCCTTACCCCTTGTACTATCTTTATAGTCCATGAAAATCTAACTTTTTTAGAACAGACAAATAGAAAGTGTCCCCCAGATGACACTGAGATTACTATCATCGTCTCGCTCTCAACGGAACGACCATCTCTGAATGCAACAGCTATGTGTACCTAGGTCGAGAAGTCAACATGACAAATGACTTGGCACCCGAGCTGCGCAGGAGGAAGAGAGCGGCTTGGAACGCCTTCAAGAACGTCGAAGAAATAGCTAAGAGGATGAAGAACCTCCGGCTCCGGGCACATCTCTTTGATTCCACTATTCTTCCTGCTTTAACATATGCCTCAGAGACCTGGGCTCTACGCAAACAGGATGAGAATGCTTTTCAGGTCTCCCAAAGAGGAATTGAAAGAGCTATGCTTGGAATATCACGTTTCACTCAAATGAGAGAAAGAATCCGGAGTTCCGACCTCCATCGACGATCAAGAATCAGGGATGCTGTCTTGTTTGCCAAGGCATCAAAAATCAGATGGGCTGGTCACGTAATGAGATTTAGAGACGACCTCTGGACTAGAGCCGTTACAGACTGGATTCCACGGGATGTCAAAAGACCGTGTGGCCACCCACCTACCAGATTATCAGACTTCTTCATCAAGATCATGAACGATCGGTTTGAGGCTCTTCATGTTCCTAGAGCGAACTGATGCCATTGGGTTACACTAGCACGCGACAGGGACAAATGGAGAAGTTACTGATGCCTGCTCGAGCAAATCGAAGATTAACGGGAAGTCAGGTGATCAAGTGATCATCGTCTTGCATTGGTCTAGCCCCCACACTGACACTAGAGGGTGGGAGCATGGTATTTTCAACTTTGGGAAAGTCTGGTTGGAGAAAAGAGGGAAATGTAAAGATTTGTTCATTGTTTTCATGCTGAAAAATAAACTTTGATATAGGGCTATTCACCAGTCTTCCGTGTTGCCTTGGCAAATTTGGGTCTCATTTCTTCTTGGTGCATCAGGTAGTTTAGTAGGCTGTCAGAGACCTTGGATTTGGGACATAACTGGAGTTTATATATTCTTTCTTACCCAGGACAGAGGAGCCAAATCATTTCAGGTCACTCTGAGGGCATAAGCTTCATCTTTCTGTGTCCATAAATACAAAAATAATCCTAAATTGGAGCCACACAGTTTTCTTCGCTGGTCTTTTTTTCTCTCATGTGTGGCTGATGGGTAGTGTGTGTGCAGAGTGGAGGTAGATTTCTGATTGAGGGGGAAGTGATTTAGTTGAAAACAGTGGTAATGTGTAAAATCATGATCTCAAGAAAAGGAGATATGCAGATGAATTGTAGGGAACATGTACACTGGGCAGCCTGGCTCTTTTTCGCTGTAGGCAGTTGTGTGGCTCTTAGTTACCTCTTTTTCTTAGAGGGTTCTTCTTTAGAAGGTAGCTCTAGGGCTGGAGAAATAGAACAGTCAATAGGGCGCTTGTTTTGCACGTGGCTGACCTGGGTGTGTTCCTCAGCACCACTTCCACAAGCCCAGCCTGGAGTGATCCCTGGGTATAGAGCCAGGAGTAAGCCCTGTGCACTGCAAGGTGTGGCCCCAATTTTTTTTTTTTAAAAAAGGAGGATATGAAGAAAGTGTAAGAATAACTACATTGTAAGAACACCCCACTTGGTGCTAAGAAAAGGTGGCGGTCGGTTGGAAGACACAAGCGTGGAGAGGAGTCTGGCTTTTCTTATGGTAACATTGTGTGGTGATTAGATTTTTAAGTGACAGTACTATGCATACTCCTAGGATAGCATCAGTAGAATCAGTAAGTCTTAACATGATTTTATCTCCTTATCTCTTTCCCTCACCCTCTCCCTGTCTATCTATTTTGGTTCACTGCCTTTTCTCCAAGAGTCCCAAACTCAGGTTCAGAAACCCTGGTCTTGAATTAATGTTCTCAGAAGCTGGTCTTTAATCTGATTAGAAGGCTTTGCTAGGCCTGTGGCATTTGGTCAGGAAGAGTGGTGTCTGGAGGACCACTTTGGTCCTTATAACTCGGGAGCTTGGCCGCACAAATATTTACCAGTGATGCAGAGCAATAAACTCCTTTCATTCTTCTTCTCCAGAACAGAAAAGCAAGCTTCCAGAATTTCCTATTAGATTAGTCTGAAAAAAACAAAAAGACTGTTATTAAATTAGGCACCCATGTTCTGTTCATATGTAGTTAATTACATATGTTCAGCTCTCTCTTTATACTTACTAGATTGCTGTCTTAAAAGTTCTGATCTTTTAACCTTGCATCTCTTCAAATCCTTTTTCTGTCTCCAAATACATCTGCAATTTGGGCTAGAACCATCCCTTGCCATGGGTGTGGGGATAGGTTCCTGATCTCTCCTATTACATGTTTTCCTAAAGTTTTTCTCCATTTACATGGCTTATTGTTTTGTGTGTCTTAATTATGGAAACAACTACTTATATACTAAGTTTTATTTATGACTGGTCAGAGCCTTCTGAGAATCAGACCTGTCTTTTTTCTCTCTAATGCTGGCATTCTGTCCATTAGTTCTAAGAGGTATATTTAAGATCTATTAAGTCATTTAGTGACTGAGTTCTGTCTGATTCAAGGCAAGCGGTTTTCTTATTGTTACCTATGATATGTCTGACACTAGCTTTTTCCCATTGAATCAACTTTGCCTTCTGGACCTACACATAAGAGCCTATAAATATTTGAAGCCTGTGCTTATTCTGTTGCACATGTCACTCCATCAGCAATGCCCAGAATTAAGTTCAAGGCATTAACTCACAGAGATATTGCCCATTTGGTACATTTATACACAAACCATTTCCTCGGAAGAAATTTTAATGCAGAGCATTCAGGCATCATACAACAACAAGTAAAGGGGTATAGAAAAAGGACAGGAAGAGAGAGATGACAGTTGGAAGTAGTTAGCAATTCAAATGAAGTCAGGCCTGGGAAAGAAGAAATGTGTATTCAAGTTCCTTGCAAGGTAATCCAGGGTGGGAACTCTTGATTTTCAGTGGATGGAGATT